AGATCATAACACTGCCCCCACAGGCTTGTACGGTAGGCACTAGGCATGATGGGTGCATCAATTCATTCGCCTCTCTTCTTACCCTGATGCGCCCATCACTCTGGAACAGGGTAAATCTGGATTCATCGGACCACATGACCTTCTTCCATTGCTCCAAATTCCAATCTTTATGCTCCCTAGCAAATTGAAGCCTTTCTTTCCGATTAGCCTCACTGATCAGTGGTTTTCTTATGGCTACACAGCTGTTTAGTCCCAATCCTGAGTTCCCTTCGCATTGTGCGTGTGGAAATGCTCTTACTTTCACTATTAAACATAGCTGTGGGCGCCCGGTTAGCTCAGTTCATAGAGCTGGTGACTCATGTACCGAGGCTGAGTCCTTGCTGCAGCGGCCCAGGGTTCGAATCCGACCTGCGGCCCTTTGCTACGTGTCATCCCCTCTCTCTGTCCCCCTTTCCTGTCTATCTTCAGCTGTCTCTATCATAAAGGCAATAAAAAAGCCCCCCAAAAATACTAAAACATAGCTGTGAGTTCTACTGTTGATTTCTTACGATATGAACGTTTAAGCGATCTCCAATCACAATCATTCACGAGTTTTTTTCACGAGAAAAAGATGATTTACCAAATGAAGTCCTACGTTTAGGAATACTGCACTCTCCCCTGATAACTGATCGGTTTTAATAATGCGTTGGACAATTCTTAACCTAATTTTAGTAGTTTCAGCAATCTCCTTAGTTGTTTTCTTTGCTTGATGCAGGCAAATAATTTGACCCTTCTGAAACTGATTAATATCCTTTCCACGACCACAGGATATGTCTTCTGATATGGTTGTTTAAGAAATGAGAAGCTACTCACTGCATCAGCTAGGGTTGAATAACTTGTTGCCAGCTGAAACATATTGATCACTGCAGTAATTATCCAAAGGAAGGCTCTTAGCAATTTTTTTAGTTAAATCTAGGTGGTGAATTTTTTTTGGGACGGGCAGTATAAAAAGGGGAAATCACTGATTGTAAGGTAGGTGTCATCAATCATCGGTTAATTTGAGAGGTATAGATCACAGGTGCACAAGTTATAAATAGGCTTTTTTAGAACCTGCGTAATCAAGGTTTTCTATGCTCACTATCTTTTATGAACTGAACGTAAGCACACCATTAGAAATTATCTTAAGACTCAGTTCAAGTATAAATCTAAGTTCATTTTTCATAAATTAGGCCACTGGTCTGACTAGCTACTTATCCACATTTGAAGTTGCAGTAGGTAACTTCTATAAAAATAACTTTTTGTCATATTTGCTGAAACTTTTACTATATCCTGACAGTAGTAGATGAGACTCCTAGTGCTGCTAATGACATTTGCAAGAATTCGTCAGACCTGCTGAATGAAAACAAACAATCAGAGCCAAGAAAGATAGTTGATTGTTAAGTCTTATTTCCAGGTCGTGAAATATCAGTGCTGGGACTCAACAATCATCTTCAAGCAGCTAGCCCATAGCGCCTGTCCAACAGTTTTAGGTCATATTAGATAGTAGAGTAATATCATGTGTCAGAGGTGTGTGTTTGGATATCAGCTGTCAAATTCTTTCCTATCTCTGTTTACATGTGGAAACCCCCTGATAACAATGCAGGCAATGGAGGTCTTGGTGGATTTGAATAGTCCTCTGAAGGATTTAAATCCCTCTTGTAATTATACTGCTGCCCCATATTTATTATTATTTATTTGTTTTAATACATTTTTTTGTACTTGTATTTATTGGTTCAAAGGTAAGACAGTACAGGGGATGGATATCTGGTTTCTTGCTCAATGTGATCTCAGTGTCAATGAAAAACAACTCACAATGGTGAAATCCAGTTATACTCGCTTCCAAATGAAACATTTCTCCTCAACGCTCATCAACCTGACAGTTCTCTGGCAGTAAAGAACTGTGGATTTGGAGAGGGCATAAAAGAGGACGGCAGGTAAATGATATTCAAATGTGTCATCTCTTCAGAGAGAAAACTCAGAGCTCCCTCAGGAACTGTCTGATGAATATTAATATGTGGTAACAACAGTAGCGGCGTGCCAGGCCTGTCAGGTCTGGAGACAGGTTTCTAGTTTGAGGGCAGAGAGCGTCGCTTCTCCACCTCTCACAGCTTTGTCAACTTGTTTTCCCTCTGCGCTACATGGGAGCTTTGTCGCTGGGCTCAGGATTTCTCTCTGCTTTGATATCTTTCCTCAGTTTGCCTTTGGTGTGTACTTCAGAGGCACTGTGGAAGCACTCATTAACACACTCTGACAATTGTTTTCCTCCTCTTTTATGCCACTATACTACCTGCCACCCCACCTAATTGTCCCATGAGGGACACGGCAATGAGAATAGAGAAATGGCCTTATTCATCTTGAATTAGTATTTGTGCTAATGTCTGATAAGGCAGCATATTAGTGGTGATATTATAGAGTGACTGTAAAATGGGAACAAGTGCATTTGCAATGGTGTAACAGTTTCAAAAACAAAGTTGGCTATGACTTTGATGGGAGCCATGATTGGTACATTCACATGTTTCTCTGGTGGTCCCATTTCCCGTGTTGGGAAGTCATTCTTCCGACTTCAGTGTGTTCATGAGCTTTAAAGTGTAACTTTTCAATTCTGCAAGCTCCCTCCTCTCAGCATATTTAAAAAAATGAGTCAGAGACCTGCAAAGGAGAGTGACTTTAGGGGGCTTGGCCATCACACCGCACACTCACAGCTGTCTGTAAAAGTTTCTGTGTGGTTGCTGAGTTAACGGCTGTGTTGTAGCTAGGCTAAGATGCTACACAGAAGATGTTTTGCATTTCATTTCTCAGAGCGTTTAAATAGTTAAGATTCATAAAAGCGTGCTAAAACAGTTTGAAGCCTTATATTAATGATTTTGTCCCAGATGTGTTGCTGCAACACAAAAATATTAATGTTTACCTGACTTGTTATCAGAGTTAATGCCAATGATTAACTCTTCTAACTAATCTAGGTCACTCCACGTGGGAGCAACTAACGGTTACAACTTAACACCACATTACACATTACATGTGAGCAAAAAAATGATGCAATGCAATACGTAAATTAATAATAAGCTTATTACCATCAGCTTTCACAGTTGCTGTTCCCAATTGAGGAAGTGTTCACATTTTCATTTTTTTTTTTCCGTGAACACCATATAAATGCATCTAAAGGTATGTTTTCATTAGTGTATAATCACCCAAAAATAATAGGTGTTTTTATGTGCAGAGGGAGTGGGTCCTCTTTTGCAGAGTCTGCCATGTTAAACCACCATGTTTCTACAGTAGCCCAGAACAGACAAACCAAACGAGTTTCATAGCCATTGTAGTTTCTCCTACACAGGAGGGTGAAGCGTTGTAATCTTCAACTACTAGATACCATTAATCCTACACCTTAAGATATTTAAACTCCAAAATCACTCATATTAAGGCATTATGGGTCAACCAAGTGTAAACCCTCTGTAGATAAAGGCACAATCTCTACACAACTCACACTAAACCTGAAAACCTGCTGTATATGCAAATGTTTAGACTCTTAATATTGTATGGCTTCTATCCTTCTTTCATGTTGGTTTCCAATAATTTTGTGCATCAGACGTACAACATCAATCACGCAACTGTAACCTCAACACGCACACCCAGTGCCAATGTTTCAGTTCATAATAATGTGTGTATGATTAGAAATTCACTTTTATTTGCCTTGTTGCTCCACAGAGAGGGAAGGCACTTCACTGCACACAGCGGTAGTCTACACACAATGTCTATATCATACATTTTTTAACACATGTGCACAAAGGGTCCACCTCACTCATGTGCCTGCTCAGATCATAAATAGGAGGGTGTGTTCTCTGTGTTTAAGCTCTTGATATATACAGTAGACACGTACTATCAAGTTTGACAAAGGCAGACGAGAATGTATAATGACAGCTGTGCCCTGTTCTCGGTGCTGATTGGCATTAAGTGTGGGCGTGCAGTGTTCATTCTGTCTTTGTTGTTGTTACAGTAGTTCAGAGTGAATTGACTGGTTGAAGAGTCAAACCACAGATCAGCTGTCAGCAGCTGTCTTTCAGGAAGCAACACGCACCCTGATCCCCCCAATAATAAACTATATTCTAAGTGGAATAGCTCATAGTTTAGCTGATTCTGAGAGTTGTAAACTAATCGATCCAGAATTCCTTTGTGATCGGACTGAGACCACTTTCTCTAAAGGGTCTCTGGCTGTTTTAGTCCACACCAAAGTACAACTGCTGTGTGCAAATCTGCCCAAATGAATCGTACCAAGGGGTGAAAACAAAACAAGAGTTGGATGCAAACAGACTAAACAAGGTTTGAAAACAACCCTGTTGAGCAAATGCTAATAAATTTAATACCAGAAAAAGAAACTCTATATATAGTATAATCACTCTCTGGGTAATGATCTGAATGGTATCTGAATGGAGTATTTGATTTAAAAAATGTATAGAAATCAAATAATTAATTAAATATCAACTTTATTTATGTTTAGGTTTAGTGGACTAATGTTCATTTAATTATTATACATATATACTATATATAAGGGGTGGCTGTGGCTCAGAGGTAGAGCGGGTTGTCCACTAATTGGAAGGTTGGCGGTGCGATCCCTGACTCCTCTTGCTGCGTGTTGAAGTGTCCTTGAGCAAGATACTGAACCCCAAACTGCTCCTGATGCTGTGCATCGGTGTATGAGTGTGTATGAATGACTAGTTTCCGTTCTGGTGAGCAGTTGTCACCTTGCAGCCACTGCCATCAGTGTATGAATGTGTGTCAATGGGGAGAGTCTGGCATGTAGTGTACACCGCATTAAGTGGTCGAAAGACTAGAAAGGGGCTATATAAGTAATAATAAGTTATTATAACTAAAGATGAAATCTCTATATTTTAAAGGTTACAGTGTAACCAACAACATGTATGCTGAAACTATAATACGCAACATACCACGATTTAATGATTTGTGTGGTTATATCATTCAGCTCTTACCTGGTCCCAGTCTATACTGCGGAAAAATGTGTGTGACTTGATATCTGTGAAGCCCGTCTGGACCTGGCAACCCAGCCGCTCCTTAGGATCCTGTTGGGACCAAGACAGCTGGTCAAGAACGTAAACAGGAGCAAGACAATATTCTCAATAATTTAGCATCTAGAGGTAGAAACTGCAGGCTTACTGTCAGGTTAATTCTACTTAATGTGGACAGTAATAAAGTCCAAGGGGGACTATGTCAAAAAAATGTATTTCAGACGTTCGCAGCTCCAAAGAGAATCAATTGCCATGTGGAATATTAGTAATAATGCTGGCCCCACAGGTTTCATCATGCACTGTATGTGTTATGTGTACATATAGCCCCCCTCTGACTGCTTAACTGTGCTCTATTCATCACAACAATTATGGTGATATCTCACAGAGGCAAAGTCCATGTGGAAATATACAATGCTGTTTGCACGAACAGAAGCCCCCTTATGTATCAAAGCTACACTAAGACGTCACACACACACGAAAGCTTGATGCAAAAAACATGAAACCAAGGCCTGAAATACATAAACGTACAGTTCTGCAAATGTACACACAGAAAAATGTGCTATACCTGTTAATTATACACAATTATACACACCACAGGAAAATTGCCAAGGCAACCAGCAATGATACTGCGCAGAAGCACTATGCCTAAACTGTTGAAGAAACAGTTAAACTATGTCATTTTTTACATTTCTCATTCAGTCTTTATGCTCTATGCTATGCTAAGCTATGATAATAACATAACATTCATATGATACCAGTATCTTCACTCTAGCTTCAAAACATAGCCTGCTACAGCCTCTGAAAGACAGAGCAGAGTGGACAAGGTAAGGATAATGTGGTGGCCAATTAGATTTTTCCCACTTTGGACACACCCCTGGAGGTACTTATCCATAGTCAGTGTATTACCTACAGTACACAGCAGTCAGTGTGTCCCCAGTTTGGAGAAGCAGACAGAGATCCTGGCAGGGAAGCAGAGCAACCACCGCTTTACCTCGCCATCAGACAGCCTTTGTCTTTGGCAGAACGTCCGTATTCCTACATATAAGCCCACCATACACAGTATTACGCCGCAGATCCGCTGTTTGAAATCAAACATCATGTTTCTAAAGATTTCAAAGATGGTACATGCTACTTGTTTTTCCAGGCTGTGCTGCTATAACTCTGACCCAGCTGATCTGCGCCGCAATACAGTTGTGTGTAGGAATATGGATGTTTTTTAAGTGCAAGAGAAAAAAGCTGTTTGACAGCGAGGAAAAGTGGTGAAAATATTCTTAATATAGCGTACACTTAAACTGATATACATTTTTTTGAAGTGGGCCTTTTTATGTGGCTAAAATACCTTTTTCTGTAGCCCCTGTCCATATGCTGACCTCCATATACTGTAGGTAATACACTGACTATAAGTACCTCATACAACCCCACTTCAAAATACTAACTATCCCTTAAAGCAGGAATTACACAAGTTACAAAAAACAAAAAACATACAAAAAACATTTCAAACCTTTTTACAGATACAACAAACAAAAGATGTATCTTGTTCTTGTTCCTTGACCCAGTCTGCAAATAAAGTGACCCCTGACACCAGGTTGAGACCATAGACTGTATGACTGTAACATGCAAACATAATTTACAGTTTTATATTGTAAACTGCTCTGTATCCACGTTCTTCTATCTCACCACAAAAATAAAGGAAAGAAGCACTTTATTTGGCTCAGAGTGTATGTGTGGGTTAATGCGTTACAATAAAGAGGCCTTCCCTGGCTGTCCATAACAGCCCAAGTTCTTGGCCATGATCCCACGCATGGTGATTTGACTGAGCAGCAGTGTACACAGACACAGAGAGAGAAGAAGAGGTCATACTGGGAGTGGACTGCTCTCACCTTGTTTAGAAAGCCCTTGAGCACACTGGCAGCTTTCACCGACAGAGACCTTGGGATGCGAATGGGCTTCTCGAGAATAACTGTTGGAGAAAAAAGAGAAGAGAGAGGGAGAGAGAAAGAAAAGGACAATCGTGAGTAGGGAGGAGGATGATTCACAGTCCAACCTGCCTGTGGGTGACCATGTCTGCTGCGTAGGAGTCAAAAGAAGGGAGGAGATACAGAGGACACTATTCTGTTCTTTCTCTCACTTTTGATGGTCTACACACAGCCTTGAGACTCCCACAGCTCAACAATGTCATACTAATGAGAACAAAAACACTCGCTGAAAAATAGTTTTTCCCTCAAAAACTAAATCCAAGGATGTAGTACTGCTTCACAGATTAGTGCTTCACGCTGAGGTGACCAGAGTTTTTTGCTTTCAATCACAGCTCAGGTAATGTGACCAGTGCGTGGTCTCATGCAGGGCAATAGATCCTCCTAAATGTTAAACACTTCATTCAGCTGCACATTGTCTTTTATTAAACCAAGTGTCATCTCTTTAAACAGCACCCTTTTACTGTCAGCTGCCATAAATCGGATGACAGAAGAGAGGAGCTGATCAAAATGTTGATACACTCATTTGTGTCATCTTCAATTATTACTGTGTACTCCCAACAATAAGCTCGTCGAGTGGGAGTGATTAATTTGTGGACCTTATTCGCCCCGGGGTTTGCCTTTTAGGCAACAGGCTCAGGCTTGTCCTTTCACCTCAGTGGTATCTTGGTGGACAGTGGACAGTAATCTTCTTGGTCTTGGTTGTTTAGGTTGGGCGTGTCTTAGGCTACCTTCAGGGACACATTTCAGAGCAAAGATCAGTTAACTGGGGACCCATTCAACTGACCCATCCTGAGTCCTGTCCCATTAGAACCTCAATCAACTTTCTCCTTTCCTGTACTTACATATGCTATGTGCTAGGCTCTCTCTCTATGCTGAAAAGACGATTACATTTTGAAGATGGTTGAAAGATAAAAGCAACATATGGTCAATTCTTAAGTTAACTAGTGTTAGCAAAACATCTAGCTAGCTAACGAGTGATGTAAACTAGCTAGCCAGTTAGCTTGCATTTTGCTCATATTAACTTTCAGATGTAACTAGCTAGCTAATGACTGATGTAAATTAACTAGCTGGTTAGCTGGGGTTTTGCTAACATTAGTTAGCTAAGTTAAGTTTCATGTCCCATTAATGCATGTTACTAAGTTCTTGTGCTTTCTCGTCTCGCAGGTTCTCATGGATCCTGGTGGAGCCTCCTGCCATGGTCCTGCTAGACTGCCATTGCCAATATCACTGATATTAGTGTTATTATTATTATAAGTATTATTATTGCTACGGTTACTGTTGTTGCTGTTGTCACTGCTCATTGTCCCCCATCGTTGCTGTTGTCATGTTCATCATCATCAGTCACTACTATTAGTGTAGTTGTTGCTACTGTTGTTGCTGTGCACCTGTCTGTCTGTCTCTGTCTCTCTCCCTCTCTCTCTCTCTCTCTTTCACCCCAACTGGTCGAGACAGACGACCACCCACCTAGAGCCGAAGGATCTGTCCTAGGTTTCTGCCTTTTAACAGGCAGTTTTTCCTTGCCCTTGTCGCCAAGGTCTTGCTCATGGTGGAACTGTTGGGTCTCTGTAAATAATGTTATAAGGAGTTCGGTCTAGACCTGCTCTATTTGAAAAGTCTCCAGAGATAACTTCTGTTATGAATTGGCGCTATACAAATAAAATTGAATTAAGATGTGACTATATGTTGCTTTTATCTTTTAACCATCTTCAAAATTTTGTTGTTTTTTCAAAATAGAGAAGCCTAGCCATTAGCATATCTACGTACAGGACAGGAGAAAGTTGGGACATGGTTCTTACCGAGGATTGCTCAACTGTTATTGAAGCACAGAGCAAAAAGGGGCGGGACTAAGGGGGGGTCAGCTGGGGTATAAATGTATATGAATGCAAGAAACAGCATTCACATAATTCTTCTTTTATTTCATTGGGCCCCACCCCATTTCTGAACAAACGTCTCGTAGTATAGTGGTGAAATTATGCTGCAAAAAGAAGAGCATGTCATGTTCCACAACTTTATCTGTGGTGCTCTTCATCATTACTGGATAAATATCAGATATTGGTACAAAATGCTGAGATGAGAAGGCAGACTACTGTTAATCTAACCCAATGCATTGGTGTAGCTGTTATAAATATATTATCAACCAATTATTGACCAAGCTCATGACAGATATACAGATAAACCCTTTTATTGGTATCAGCCTGATGAAGACTTTTGAGATCTGAGACTGTTGTCCAATGACCTTTAATGCTCAGAGGTATTTTTAAAACTATTACACCAACTCAAACCAGTTTTTGCATTATATTTCCGGTATTAAAATGATACAGGTTTTAATGTTAATACCACTTTTTGGCTGGTTCCCCCACTGAATCAAATGTTTACCAGCTGTCTGTCTAAAGCTCTGGAGTTGGCATGTGGAGCACTTATACCCAAAGCACGGCCTGGCACAGGGTCTTGCAGGGTGGCATATGGCTTGGTGGCTCCTATAGTGAAAGGGTTGGTTTCGATTGGCAGGCATTCATCCAGGAACCTGCTGCTCTACCGGTAAGACCGCCAGGAGGACGGTACTGGTGGCAGATGCTAGCCATGGTGCCACGCTATGCTCCTGACAGTCACAGCAGAGACATAATGCGTCACACAAGGCTACTGGTAGTATGGAGGAATTTCTGTCATGGAGGACTGTGTGGGTGGCTGTGTGAGAAAGGGAGGGAGGAGGAGGTAAGGGGGTGTGCTATGTAAGGGTACCATATGGCTTGAGGAAACACAAATGCAAATAGAAGGACGGATATTATAAAGGTTCCTCTACCCTGAGGGTGCGATCACACCCACAGTTTGTTTGCTTTGGTCCAAACCACCCAGAAAAAGTTGACTTTGTTGCAATTTTGTATTTACGTTGTGTAGGTTGGCACTGCGATATCACTCCACAGGTCCAGTGTGTAACATTTAGGAGGATCTATTGTCAGAAATGGAATATAATATTCATAGGTATGTTTTTTATTAGTGTATAATCACCTGAAAATAAGTATCGTTATGTTTTTCGTTACCTTAGAATGAGCTGTTTTTATTTACAGAGGGAGTGTGGGTCAATCTCTACAGAGTCCGCCATGTTGAACCGTCTTGTTTCTACAGTAACCCAGAACAAACAACCAAACACTGGCTCTAGGTAGGGCCTTCTGTGCTTTTTGCAAGTTTTGTGGCCACCGTAGCTTCTCCTACACGCTTGGAAGACTGAGCTGTATTGAAATGGTTGCAATGTGCAACTTCACAGCTAAATGCCACTGAATCCTACACATTAAATCCTTTAATTGGTCATCCCACTATGTTTAAGATTTGAGTTTAGTGACTGTAATTCAGCAATTACCATCATTTCATGGCATGAATGACTTAAGGGCAATGCATGGCAGTCCATTGCAAAGCTTCACATCAATGTTACATTCTTCTCCGTATGCACGGGAGGTTGAAATTCTGTTTTTCCAAAGAGACACATAAATGTCTCTGCAGGTCTACACAGAGAAGGATGCTATGAGTTAACTGTAGGTGGCACAGTCGTGCAGATGACTGGACGTGCACAACTCCCAAATTACAGCAATGCTTTTTGGACTTGTAAGAAAGGTTCAACTCCTATCGGGAGGCGGCTACAAAACAAAAAACAAAAAGAAATAAAGAAATGTATTGAGTGGAAAATATTTTTTACATAGACAATAAAAGTCCAGTGTGTAAGATTTAGTTGCATGTAGCAGTGTAGTTGCAGAATAAAACTCCCCTTCCAACTGCTTGGGAGAAACTACAGTGGTCGCAAAGCACGCAAAAAACGTGAAAAGCCCCATCTATAGCCAGTGTTTGCTTTGTCCATTCTGGGCTACTGTAGAAACATGGCAGTTCAACATGGCGAACTCCATGGAAGGTGATAGATATAAACGGCTCATTCTAAGGTACGGACAACAACGATTCTAATTTTCAGGTAATACACTAATGAAAACATACTTATGAATATTATATTCCATTTCTGCCAATAGATCCTCTTCAATGTTAAACACTGGACCTTTAAAGCATACAGTGAGATTGGCTCCAGTAAGTGACAATGATAGCAGCAAACAGAGAAAACTAATTTAAGCTTTAACACCCCCTCTTTCGAAACATATAGGTGATGTCACATATGCTACATCCATTTATCAATATCTGATCTATGCTTCATAAAAAAAGGGTAGCAGCACATTCAAAAATACAAATGTAAACATTAGTCCAGAATCCAGTTAATTTTTTCCCTCACCTCATAATGTTATGTCTTCCAAGTACAACTAACTGCTGGCCATCATATTTCTACACTGTCTCTTTATATCATTAAAACACAATTTTGAAACATATTCCAGCAACAGAAAAAACGTGCTCATGGAAGTGTATGTTTTTGGGGGATATTTTCTACAACTCTTACAGTCACTTTGCAGCCTTGACTGATGAAAGACAGAGACCTGTGTTATCAGGTGCCACAGTGTGGTTATTTGGCACAAATGAAAATGCCATCAGCTGCCAAATGAAGCAAACTAATGGAGAAAAGGCTGAACTGTTCCACAAATTCACCCTAAATCTCATCTGTAATAAAGGGCCATGATGTACTGCCAGCTTTTCCACAGTTCATGAGGGGTGGGGGAGCATGCATCACAGCATGTGTATGCAGCAGTACATCATTACATTATTTCTAAAATATTAACCTGTTTCTGGTTCATGCACATACTGTGACAACACAATGTCAACTTTTGAGTGATGAGATTCATGTAGATAACATCCAGCTGTTACATTCTTGTTATCCCTTAAAGCAGTGGTTCACAACCTGGGCATCAGGACCCCCACTAGGGGTCTCCAAAGCGTCATGGGGGCTGCAAGGCCTTCTTGATTTTAAGGTGTGCCAGAGATCTCATACAGTATATACAGTAAGGATATATGTAAGCATTTGATTCACTTCTGTGAAGAAAAGTAAATGTAAATTGTTAGGTAATGGTAAATAGAACAATGGCCGAGGGTCAGGGACAAGAAAGCACAGACATTGTCAAAAAGGAAGCCTATTAAGTATCTATGATTGTTAGACATGAAAAAAAATATACATAATACAGACAGAGAAGTGTATAAAAAAGTTTTCTAAACAGGAAATAATAATTCATCCAAATCCCTAATTCTACACAAACGTCTTGCAGTTACTGAGTTCACTGTTTGGGTTCACTGTACAGGTTTGAATGTAACATGAAATATCCATAAAATATGTCACTCAGCCAGGGGTTTACTAAATGATAGAAAAGGACCAGCTCCCTTAGCAGATAAAAACCTCTCATTCTAAGGTAACAAAAACCTGATACTTATTTTCAGGTAATTATACACTAATGAAAACATACCTATGAATATTATATTCCATTTCTGACAATAGATTCTCCACTTTAAGAAAACCAGGTTGTTTTTTAGCCTGACCACCACGCATATTTGCACTGATCCAATGGGGTTTAAAGAGTTTAATCAGCCCAAGGGTAGACTTTTCTCAACCCATAAAGGAACAATCTGTCAGCTAAATTTGAAACACACAAATCATTAAATTGGATTTCCAAGGTGGAAATAAATGAATTTCATACAGTGAAAATCATACAGGAGGAACATGTTCATGAACAGGGAATATAATAAATGAAACAGCACGAATATATGTTCTCAAACTGTTATTTCCCTCTGCCTTATCAGGCTATCTCTAATGTAAATAACAATAATATGTGTACTCAAAGGCTAAGGGCCTGTCCTCACGAATACGCGGCCTCACCCAATACGATGTTGTTTTGAAAAAAATCTACATAAACACAGCGTCGTTTCCAGAAATATCTGCGTCCACACGGATTCACTGAAACGACCCAAAACGCTGTAGTACATATGCCAGGCCTGTATGTGGCGCTGTGACGCCGCCACACCAATACACTAAAACCAGAAGAGAAGCCATGGAGCATGCACTGTTTACAAACAAGTAGTAGTAGTCCGCCATTAGCGGCGGTGGCTGAGGTTAAAGGCTAGAGAGGAGGGGCTAATCCGTTTTCGCCGTCCAGACGACTCTGGGCAATCCGGCGTTTTCGGATTTTCCCACTCTAGGACCCGTTTCCAAAAAATACAGTTTTCACACCCCGAAACTGCCGTATCCGTCTGGACGCAAGGCTGATACGATAAAATATTTATCGAGATTTGAGAAAAAGCGTATTCATGAGGACGGCCCCTAAGAGATAGACAGACTAAAACAAAACAAGAGAGGATTGAGAGACCAACTAATTAACATTTGAGAGAAATAAAATTAGCCCTGTTTCTGAGATTCCTCCATTTTAATGAAGCATATTACAACCATCTAAGCCTGGATTTACACAGGCATAAATCCTTTACAGCCCAGAGCTGATTGTTACTCGATTACATGGAATCTGTTTTTCCCACTCTCAGTATATCAGTTATGCATCACAAAGGGTTAAATTAACATGTTTTGTTTTTTTTTTAAATGGCACCAAACAGTCTGCCATGTGCTCTCAATATTCATATTTGATTTCCCATTATTCCTCTGTACTCCCAATCCCTTAAACCCTAGAGAATGTAGATAGACAGTGGGTACGTTCCTGTTGATGAAACAGGGACAGATGTAGGACACTATGGATAAAAAACCCAACATGACTTTACTCTATAAACAACCCTTTTTAAGGATTTTTTAAATTTCCTTTTAAAAAAACATTTATCTTGTTACAAACTATCCTGAAAACTGCAGTGACTTAAAAAACTCAAACATTTAACAATGATTGCAGCATTTTCTGTATCTTGTCTCAACCTTTTCTTTCTTAGTCGGCCAGTCCACCACTGTGGGTCAGAGTGAAATATCTCAATAAATATTGGATGGATTGTCATGACATTTTGTACACTCAAGGTCCCCAGAGTAATGTAATGACTCTTAATCACCACTAGCAGGTTGATCTTTATTACTTCAGAAAAGTCACACCAACAAACCTAACAAGTCCATCAGTCTATTTGTCCATCCAACACTGCTTCACAGCGATCTGCCATAAGATTTGGTTGGATATTTAGGGTCCCCAGAGGATGACTACAAATTATTTGGTCACCCCCCAATATTTCCTCCAGCACCACCATCAGGTCAACATTTTCCTTAACCAACACTTTTGTACTTTGTTGATGGTCAGTTTTCCATGTAACCTGATATTCATGGCCCCCAGATGATTCAACCTTTCTGAAAAACATGTTGTTAACCCACCTGACCTTTCCACTAGAGGGCACTCTCAGGGCAGAGGCAAACAAAATTTCAAGGTCCAGTATCTAACATTAAGGAGGATCTACTGGCAGAAATGGAATATAATATTGTTTTCATTATGTATATGTGTATAATCATCTGAAAATAAAAATCACTGTGCTTTCGTTACCTTAAAATTAGCATTTTCATCAACAGCAACGAAGTCCGCCATGTTGAACCACCATGTTTCGCAACCACTACAGTTTCTCATACATACTTGGAAGTTGAATGGCATTCAGTTCTGCAACTTCACCGCTAGATGCCACTAAATGTCCTTCAAAAAACACCTTCATGCTACCCCAAATAATGAATCCTTTCAATATTTGTTTCACACATAGCTATTATTAGAAAGAAATTCAAGCTTTTTGAAAAAGTTATATTTGGCATTATTGCTTTTACAATACAGATCAATTCTTCATAGCCTTTTCAAAATAAAATAACAATTAGTATATACAGAAACTGAAGATAACTAAAAAGGACAACTGGTCTTTCTCAGTTCAAAGCCTTTCTCCCCGCACTGTGGTGGCATGAAACCTCCTGCTGCAGTGTGTAGCTTGACCATGTCTTGTTAAATTTTTTTTGTCTCACCTTGAAAGAGGTACTCCTCTGTGTTCATGTCAGGATTGTCGGTGATAATGTCAAATGGGGACCTCCCAGCCATCATCTCAAACATCAGCACACCCAGAGCCCACCAGTCCACACTGAAGCCTGGGAGGGAACACAACAGTAAGACAATATATTAATTCAGATACATGTGGCAGGAAAAGCAGTTTTCCAAATTCCTCCAAACTGCGGCTTGGACCAGGGAAAAAACCTTCTCCATGCACATTAGGCTACAAAAGTTTCCAGGTGTTTTTGTGGTTTGTTGCGTGATTTTAGTCCAGCTTTCTCTTTAAGATGTAAAGATTTATTAAAAGTTGTTTCAAAATCTAAATATGGTTGTTGGGATCAGTGCTTGGATCTAGCGTGTCTCCTGTACTCACCATAGTCCTCTCCTCTAAGGATCTCAGGTGCAATGTAGTTGGGTGTTCCACAGAAAGTACTAGTGGTGTCACCCGGTCTAATCCCCTCCTGAGGGAAGCAGAAGAAGCAGAAGGAGAATCAAGGTGAAGAAGAAGGAGAAGAACAGTTGTGACAGAGATAAAAGAGACAGTGTGGGAGAGATCATATGTACGAGAACATGAATGGTGGACGAAAAAAAGATAGGGGCCCTGTTAGTACTTCCAATCAATACAGATCTACTGCATTATTGATAAGCTTACGTCCGCCATCCTCACAGTCTACTGAACGAATCAATGCGTCTCTTACCTTGCACATGCCGTAGTCTGTGAGCTTAATGTGTCCTTCATGGTCCAAGAGAACATTGTCCAGCTTCAGATCACGGTATATGATGCCCTTTTCATGCAGGAAGTTCAGAGCAATACAGATTTCAGCAGCATAAAATCTGTGAAGGACAAATACAGAGAATGATGTGTCTGACCTGTCCTCTAGGGCCACCATGAGGCAAAATATTTCCAAGAAAATATAAATCTATAGACCTTGGTAGCTGCACGGTCTCAAGTGTAGGTGTCTCATAAGGTTGTAACAAAAGTTTCAAGTTGGTTGGACCTAATAACATTTTTGGAACATTTCCAACACATCATGTGGCCCAGAGGCAGAGCGGGTCATTCCTTAATCAGAAGGTTGTGGGTTCGATCCCCGGCTCCTGGTGCCACATGTCGAAGTATCCTTGAGCAAGATACTGAACCCCAAATTGCTCCCGATGCCATGCATTGGTGTGTGAATGTGTATGAATGTTAGTTTCTGTTAGATGGACTTTGCCATCACTGAGTGAATGTGTGTGAAAGGGGGAATGTGGCACGTAGTGTAAAAGCGCTTTGAGTGGTCGGAAGACTAGAAAGACGCTATACAAGTACAGGTCCATTTACCATACACCATTGCAGTCACAATGGTAATTAATTATAAAGCATGATTATTACCATGTTGCACCCACGTCTTAACCGTGGTAGGAAGGAAAAGGGGGCTTTGCACTTGACTCTAAAACACAAATAAACACAGCCACAGGACAACCCTGCAGGAAGGAGCCACACTGCTGGATTTTGTAGGAATGTGGCAGAAGCATTCATCCTGTCTGTCTCAGCCATGCCCTGATTAAAAAAGAAGACACACAGACTTGCAACTCTTCATACAGACAGAGTGCAGATGAGGAGAGAGACTGAGACAGCGATGTAACCTGGTTGCTACCTTTTCATAGAGTCATCTTAAAGAGTGATCTGCGCAGCATTCAAATGTTGATTTAGAATTCAAATTGCAATGAATCTTCAAATTTCGAAAAAGGATTTAGATTTATTTCCAAGCAGGTGCAGGCCAAGACAAATTTTATTTATTTATTTAATTCTGATTCACCAACATACGCTAGTAAGAACAAAATTGTCCGGTACACGTTTCATGAATCCGACTGATTTCGCGTACACACTTATTTGGTGCACAAAGGAAGAACATTTATATGCACATAATAGTGAAGGAGGCACATTTTAAGTCATCAGTCAAAGCCTGGACTGTGTTTGATTACATATGAAGTACCAAATACAGAAACACAATCACATGCAGCACATCTGCTTATTTCTAATGGGTCACTGAGATTTGTGGTATAAAGGATTTTCATAAGTAGATTTATGTTACAATGATTATTCACATTATAATGAGCATAGGTATTTATAGTAAACATCACCCTTAAAACCCTATAGTGTTGACCATGATTCGATGTACTTGGTGAGTCAGTAGCATGTCTCCTCTCTATGTGTAGGTTGTGTGTATTCTGTCTCTAGGAGATAAGCCTTCATTAACACTGACAAGCCCCTCTGTCTGCCTGCTGTAAATCCATGATTGTCAAACACTGAGGGAAAGACTGTAGTGGGGAGATGTTTGACAGAGAAATCACAAATCCCACATCGCTCACCCACGTTTTCACTGTGACAGCCTCTATTGTACGCCGTTGTTTCATTGCTGGCATCAGACTGATGGAAGCTGCGTCCTATCAGCAGCACCATCCATCGCCCACCGGCCCGCCTCCCCCACAGCGCGGGGGAATGCGGCAGGGATCTCTCTAAGAGCGCTGCTCATGAATATGTACAATCATTATGAGTGATTAACATGCTGCTTTGCATATGTACAGCCACGGTCTCCAGAATACAGATTGCAGGGGCCGATAGGGGCCCAACGGTGCCTCTCTAAATTACCCAGCCTTTGATCCAGCATTTATCAGAGCTGCAGTTGGAGTACCCCGCAAGTAGACAGGCACAATGAATTATGGGAGCTCATTATATTTGGTTCATTATATATAGGTGGAAAAAAAGTGTTAAGTTGGGTTTTGGCAGCGTTTCCACGTCCACGAAGGGCTGCTAAAGTATCCCATTAAGCATAAGGAGTACTTATAAGAAGTATGCTGTTGAGGAACATTTAGACTGAGTGCAAAGAAGGTGCATGTAAAAGCATCTTCAGCCAAGCACACACACTCCAGCTGTCCTACACCGCAAAACACAAGATGCTTTTTATGAAACTCATGGTTTTTGTTCTAACCAAAAGACAAAAACTACATACGCCCTGTACTTCACATAATACCATCATGTGAAATACAAAGGAACCCATCTGGAGGAGGTTCAATCAGTCCAACCCAAAATAGCTGCCAATTGCATAGATGTGTTTTCTGTGCAGCTAGCTGACTGTGCCATGTCAACTTAACCAAAATCCAATCATAAATTCACCCACTTCTATGTCCTCCTCTGATCAAAAAGTCTATTCCTGGAGCCTTTATTGCCGTACCTCCACTTGGTCCTGATATTTTTTTATGACATAATACAGTCTGAGCACTTGACAAAGTCCAAAGGAAAAGTCAGTTCACTTCATATATATTTAAATTAATTTTAATTTTATATAAATGCCACCAGTACATGTCATTTTCTATGTGGAAGAAATACACTTAAATTCTACATTTAGATGCCCAAATTCTGGACTGGGACTTTTTTAAATAATGTACATAAACAGATGTTGCAACATCTGGATGTTTACCTTGCATGTTCCTCAGGGAGCTTCCTTTGTCGTTGCATATGAAACATCAAGTCCCCACCGTTCACATATTCGATCACCAGAAATAACCTGGTAACCAGAGCAGGATGGGAGAATCAGTACGCCACTGAGACTGTTTAACAGAAGCTCTTTGAAAAATGTTATCATTAAAACATATGAAAAATAAGATACATAACAATTTGTCCTGCAGGTAAAAAAGTATATTAGATATATGGATATTTAAATACATTTCTCCATACAAAACCGTTACCTGTTGACTCTTCAACAAGTCCCTATTGAACCCGACTGAATCAGTGCTAACAAATCTATTTAAAGCATCATTTCCACTGCATGGTTCAGTTTGGCTCAACTCAACTCGACTTGCTTGGAACCATTCTTTTTTGGTTTTCCATCGGCAGAAGTTGTGGATAGTATCTGGTACTTTGTTCTTTTTTTGGTATCACCTCGGTCAAGGTTCCAAGTGAGCTGAACCAATATCAGGGCTAGCTAGTAATGTTTTACAATTAATGCACATGGTAAGGAATGAGTACCTTTCAGTTCCTTTTTCTAGACTGTACTTTTAGTCTTTATTTGAGTACTTTTTACTTTGCTACTTATTTTTAACTTCACTACAATTGCTCAAAATATGGGTATTCAGTGTGGGGGTGGTGAGCGTGTGAGGAGCACCTATACTGCAGATGCCATGTTGCAGCTGCCTGGAAGAAAAATAATGCAATGATGGCGAAAAACCCAGAACAAGAGGTAGCTTCCAGCGACAATCCCTGGCCCCAGCTGACTACTTTTAAAGATTTATATAAAAGTCTTTATACTTATATAAATCGAAACAGTAACTTGTATAGACCAGGTGTTTTTTACTTTTACTTGAGTAGATTTCTCAAAAGGTAACTTTACTTGAGTCATGTTTTATGGAGTAATGGTACTTTTACTGAAGTATGGATTTTCAGTACTCTACCCACCACTGGACGATACTAAAACGTGAGGGAGAACAGTCACTGGAACCACCACTTGCATGACATGTGACATCCTCCTGTGTTAGTGTCGCTTTGAAGCTGATGTCACGACAGTTTCACGCGGCGTCGTTATGACGATCAGCTAAGAATAACTCCTAACTGCTCTTGGAGTGCTGCTACATGGCAGTCCATCTCTCCACATTTGCATGTCCATAAGCCCTGTGTGTGCATGATTTTATTTGTGGTCTATGTGTGTAAAACAATGCAGTGGAAATGAGGCCAAAACCAATAATCAATGAACTTGCGAACAAGTATTGTCTTTTTGGCCTGATATAGATCACCTCTCTGTGTCAATGAGCTCCAATGGCATAGCAAGATTCATTAAAAACATTAGGATACGTTCTGGTTCATTTAGGTGAACATGCTGTTTTCCCTGAAACCACAACTGCATTTCAGTCTCATGCAGACGTCACTGTCAGGTTTGTGGTTTAGCGTTTACATTGTTTGACGAGCTGACAGCAAAAAACTACACTTGCTCTGCCCGCTGGGTTTACAGTTTATAGTATGGTATGGCTCTTTTATGTGTATTAGACTTTTGAAAAGATAACCCCACTCACAACACACTGCTGAGGTTCAAGAAGGCCTAACACATCTAATATGGGGAAAGGAAGGCTCCGGTGCAAGCATTTAATAATGAAGCCAAGTTTTGGTCACTAGACCTTCAACAGGGCAAATGACAAAAAGGATTCTCAAAACTTATGATGAAATCAAATACAGCACACCTGTGCCTTCTTCTGCAAGTACAAACTGAGCAATCCAAGTAATCCAAAAGCACAGGTGTTCTCTATTCCATGTCTCAATAACTTTTGAGATTGAGAAATTAAGATATTAAGCTTTTGCTACACAGACAATACTTGTTATTAGGTACATTTATTTCCATGGTATTTATTGATCATTTTTAAATCATAAAAATACACCAGCCTCACCATTAATGAAGAACAGACCATGATCAGAAAGCAATATTTCATATTACTGAAAAGTGCTGTGACTGAAATGTATTGGCAGTAAAAACTGTAGTGTGTCAGCCTTATCATACTCTTACCGACTTTCTGTCTGGAAACAGGAGTGGAGGCCTACTAAGAATGGATTGGTGGACGCCTGCTCAAACACATGCTTCTCCGTCTGCACCCAGTCGATATCCTTGAGAGATGAGGAGAGACAGACGGAGGTAGAGATGACATGAACAAAAAGATAATGTATGAACAATCAATTTGTGTGATCAATAGGCTTCAACCAGATAAATAGAGATAGGGCCACAGTCTTGAGAACAATCCTCACAATCACGATAATTCGTAGACTGTTTTGTTCCTTGGACTGTTCCAGTTTAGAGGGTGGACCTTGGATAGCGTGCCAAAAGATAACCGGGCAGCATGAAACCTGTCTTGAAAACCATCCACCAGTTAGTCATTGACACAAATGAACGCTCTGTATAACCTTTCGCAAATACCATCCAGACAGAGCTTTTTTTTATTACCCTATGTGTTGAACGTGTGGAATGTAGAAGGGCAATGTTGCGGAAATGTTCCTGAAAACCAAATCCACATTTGTCGAGGCATTTGATTATATAAATGATTGGACAAATACACTGGGACAGTCAAACAGATTAGTTACCTAATCCAGTATTAAAAACAGCATTTTTATCTGTCAATAGATACTTGAGTCTAAAATTGTAATCACTATGTCTATACAGTGGTAATGACTGACATGCACAACTGTCTTATCCTTTAGAATAGTCTTTCCTTTAAGTTTTCTAAGATTATTTGTTTGACATTCTAACGAATCGGAAATGTCATGCAATTTGTTCAAATTAATTAAAACAAACTTAACTTGATTTTTGGAAAAAGTGACAGCTTTAGTAATGTTAGATTGTCTAACACTGTCTGAATGTTGCACTCATAATGTACTTTATTATCTGCCCACTTCTAGTTTAAGCATCACCCACGTCTGGTTTAAGCCACACTCCAGCACTGTGTGGTCACACCTTAAAGAATGTCATTATAGGACACTTGCTTGCTTGATCGCTTGGTTGGAATTATGTTTGAGTTGACATAAAAGATGAACTCAAACATGGCACCACTATAAACCTAAAACTTAAGTCTACAAACAACCTCAGGAGTGGTATGGTGGTGGCTTTAAACAAGTTCAAAATACAATAAAATGACTCAATTAAAAATTCTAGTATATAAAGGCCATCATCATGAAAATGCATCTAAAGTATTAAAAGTAAAAGCTGTCATGATTCAGAAGGGCCCATGTCTGTTATACCACTATATTAATGATCAATTATTGATACATTAGCATGTAAGTAAACTAGCAATAAGAAGACATAAAATACAGACACAATATATAGTAATAAATAAAACAGATGAAAATCTTTAAAACCAAGCAAATCAGGTGGGTTTTGGAAAAATGGAATGAAGTGAAACTAAAGTAAAGTACACATGCCTCTAAACTGTTCTTGGGTAGTGCAGCACTAGATTAAATGTTACCTTCCACCATTGTCAGTCAGTAAAGTGAGAACTTCTTTGACAATTAGAAACTTACAGTAAGCTTTATTCACAACTCTCTGGAATATCCAGAGCGGATCAATGTTACAGTCAGCTGTGGTTTCAATTGTCTGTACTTGAGCATTCAGCCCGAGGCAGAGATGTTTTATGCTGATTTAAAGTGTCACTAAATTGATGTTGGTTAATGTTTTATGTGAGCTACAGTAGAGTATGTCTAAATTTTGAGTTCCCCATGCTGCGCTCCAAAACCATATGGTTAATTTATAACATTGCAATGGAGACCCCCCATGTGTGTATAATACCAAATTCTTTCTGGTCAACTCATTATTACTTGAGGAATTTATAATTATGCAGAAAATGCTAGCACAACACATCTCCTATTGGTCATTTTAGCTCCTTTAGTAGTTTGTAGTCTGTCTGTGCAGAGCTCTTACAAGCTTCCTTTGATGTCAGGCATTAGACTACTAAAGAGATGAATTATTAAACTAATATGCATGAATAGAGCCATGAATAAATTAAATGAGATGTCCAATCAAAACATAAGGAGGACTCGATGATTTCCACAAATCCTCTTTATCAGGAAGAAATTGCATCTTTGTTATGGAGTCACAGAGTTATAGAGTTGTGTTTTGTCCTTCAACTGTCACAGAAAATGTGGATTTAAACACTGGATTCAAGTGTTTATGTGTGGAAAAGAAGAGAAGTCTGTGACATGATTTATGTTGTCCAGGATTAGTTCTGCAGATGTTGGGTGATGCAGTTGCTTGGTCTGGCTGCATGAGCCCAGTGGTGTGTGTTTTTTAATGAAATATATGTTGAGCAATAGTGCCATCTAGTGAGCTTATATAAAGCAACAGCAAAGTCAACAGGCTGCAGCACTCTTCTTTTTCCAGGCCTGTTTTCCCCTTGGTAATGATCTCTCGCACGTAGTTTTGTCTTTGATTCTTTTGTTTTTTATTCCTTTTGATTTCCTTCCCTTTATATTCTAACAGTGAACTGAGCAGAGGTGCAGCAGCTGTCAGATCACCTCGTAAAGCAGGGCCCAAAATAACAGTTTTGCTTATTTGCCAAATTTGCAACTTAAGGATGAATTAAAGGTCCAGTGTGCAAAATTTAGATCAAACCAAACACTGGCTCTAGATAGGGGTGTTAGTCCATAGTTTCTCCTTTGCACTCTGAAAGAAGAGGCTGTTGTGAGTGAAGTTGCAATCTGCAACTTTACCGTTAAAAAAACACCAAATCCTACACACTGGTACTTTAACCAGCCAAACATATGTCTTACTGGCCATAAGGCCACATCATGCATTATTTAATTACAAATAATTAGTTCAATTTTGAGCCTTTCTGAACCTTTTGAACTTCATGTTTTATGCAGGACCTTGGAGCTCCTGCAATGTTCAGATGCCACTTTTCAGAAAAATGCCAACTTCCGCGACTTCTTCATGTTTTCTGTTTGGCGGTTTAACACCAGGAATGTGATGTTTTATCTGATGTGATGTTTGTCAAACATAGACATTATGTAGAAAGCACCAAATAGTAGTAAGCTTCTTTTTTAAACTTTTCTCTGTTCGATGGGCTTTGCCATCACTGAGTGAATGTGTGTGAAAGGGCGAATGTGGCACGTAGTAGGGCAGATAGTTTGGGTATTATTATTCCTCTGTAATTAAGTTTGCGGTGTTCACAGGTATGTAAAATAACCTCTAAAAATTCAACGTCCCTTTCCAATCCATGTGATCAATGTCCTGATCACACTTGATAATCCGCAGAACACACATTAAATATAAGGAGTTCGGGCTAGACCTGCTCTATCTGAAAAGTGTCCTGAGATAACTTCTGTTATGAATTGGCGCTATACAAATAACTTGTTACTTGGGAAGCGCGCACACACACACACACACACACACACACACACACACACACACACACACACACACACACACACACACACACACACACACACACACACACACACAGAGAGAGACACACACACAGACACACACCTGAAAATCTGAACAAACAGAACCAAATGATCAGCATGACTGGATATAACTAAAAATATGTCAAACATATGTTGTTCTAAGAGGCTGAACATGGAAGTATTGTGACTGTGTCTTTTCTTGTACATTTGTGAATACAACTGTCTTAGCCCATGGATACCATGCTCTGCCAGCTACATTCACATTTATAATAAAGAAAGAATGTATGTCTGCATGTTTCCTGCTTTAGGAGCATTATGCAGACTTCTCCTTTTGGAAATGAATTTCACATCATGTTCATCTGGCAATTCACCACAGCAAAAGAGATGTTAAACCCCTGTGAGTCACCCACTCACTTATTCCTGCTTCCTCCTAAGCCCTTTTTCCAATTTGTAAGCTCTCCGACACTTTTCTGTCGTTTCCACTCCCACCTCGCCACCCCCCCATTGTCCGATTCCTTTTTTCCTCATTCCTTTCAGAAGCTCCAACCAGTCTCTGACTCAGTCTTCTACATCTTTCACTTTATCTCAACCCTCCCTTTCTAACTCTCATATTATCCTTCTATCCGTCCTTTTCTGATTACTGCGCTTAGACCTGTTACATAGTCCAGCAGTTCTCAATCCCTGCCCCCGGCACCCAGAGCCCTGCTGCTTTTCACTCTGACCAGTTAATCAGGGACAGATTCACAATTGGTCTAGATAGAACATACAAAAAGTATCCCAAATTCTTCTCCTCGTCCGTGAAACACATCTGACCCACTGATAGACTCATCTATTCTCGATCGATACAGATTGTTATTCCAGATTATCACCTTTTGTGTCGTCCGTGAGTTGCCCCCTACAGTGGTAATACACACTGGCTGCTCTCATAGCATTGCGTCATTTGATGTCTGTAGCACAAAGCGGAGGCGGCAAACAGACAAAAAAAGTAGTCAAGCCACTCCAGGGAGTGAATGTGATTAAATTGCTGGTTTTCTGGAGCAGTGACGCATGTTGAAGCTGGGAAATAGGACAGTGGTATAGCCAGATGTTGCCTACATGTGGGTTTACATAGAAATCAAGGTGTTTTGACACCAGTGTGTGTTGGCATAATATATCCACAAGAATGACCCATTCAGTAATGTCGCCTTGTCCCCAATCTATTTTAAAGCACTCCAAAGGCAGAAAGAGTGGAAGCTAAACACAGCTTTCTGGATGCACATTCTAGTATACTTTATCCCAGTGTACATATTAAAGGATGGTTCAGATTTTTTACAATTTGGGTTTTAATATTTTCAGCTGTCACCTGTCAATGGTGTTATATCCCCTTTGTGCCTGCGTCAGCGTTGTGGTTGTCTGCCATACATTGACTGTTTATCCAGTCTGAAGCCACATTGTTACCATCCACTGTTTAGATCTTGGTGCTTTTTAACTCTAGATTTGAACCGGATGAAGGATTTTAGTCATCGGACGTCTGGATCTTAAGTTATCAGAGAAACAATCTGAGCTAACGTTAGCAGCAGCTCGGCTCGCAGCCCCTCCGGGACGTCCTTTGTCTGCCCAACAGTGTGGGAGAAACAGTTATTTTTAAGGTGGAACTGCTTTATTCAGTGTTTTTAGTGGTTTTAATCAGCGGGTCTGTTTGTTTTGGAGAGGAGGAGTCCTCTGTGGATAACTGGGCTCCTGGTAGAAACCTCCTGAACCATGAACACTGAAGGAATCCTAACCGGGAGAAGCTGACTGCAGTGATGTGTTTCCAGATCTCAGCAATTGCTTTGGCGAGTACAATGTTATCATAACTAATAAAACAATTATGGCAGAACATCATTCACAAAAACAAGACCCCAGTTTTAATAAATTAGAGAAAAAGTTTATGCCCAATGACCCAAAGGTCCCATTCTTTAACATCATCAGCACTCAGATTCCTAAGCTTCAGGTTAATGCTATATTGATTACACTTCTACTACTACTTAGTACTTTGTGAAGACTAAGTCATGTAGTGAATGTATAAATACCAGAAGTCTAGAGCAGCATTCACATCCAGAGAGACTGTTAATCTTTCAAATACTGTTTGTAAACTGGGATTTGTAACTTTGTGCTGATCAGACATCCCCAGCACAGAGGCGGCATTCTGCACTCAAACATGCATAAAAAGCATTTTGTCAACCAATAAATAAAAAAATATTTTGAGCATTACTGAGTCTTGTTCATCAGATTTCAAGGATTAAGTGATGAGCCTTGAGATGTTGTGTAGCTACGGGAGAATTTAATATTCAGTTATTATCTAAAAAAGATGAAGCAACAACAACAGTTGTTGATGATATACTCAGAGTGGAAATCAAGTGAAGTGGCTTCCACTTTCTCTTTTTGTAAAGAGATCTCACACGGTGATCACTTGCACTAAGTGTCTCTATTGTCTGTATCAAGTCCAAATCAAATGAGGTTAGTTGTCAAGATTTGACTTGTTTTTTACAATTTAAATAAAAAATCTTTTACTCTTAGATATAAGCAGAGAAGAAGGCTAATTTATAAGGATGTCCCAATCAAGTTTCATTTGCCCCTGCTCCAATCCAAGTCATTTAACAACAACACATGTTTTCCCATAATGAGTCCCAATCAGATACTTGTATTTTCCTTTAATATAGTTGCACAGTGCACACTTCAAGTACATTAAAGTTGTTCAAATCAATCCAATGACAATTTAATAGCTCTGCATTGCATTAAAATAAATTGCCTGCATCCAGGCTGTTCCTTAATGTTTTTTTTTGTATACAATAACAAACCTTTTTTTTTTTTTTGGGCCTGGTCGCTGCCTCAGGGGAGTTTCTCTTTAATGTTTGTTGCTTCAGTGCAGCCTTTGCCTGAATGAACTGTATTCTGTTCAGTGTTTATTTTCTGTAAATCTTTTGTGCCGATTACATTAATAAATTACTCTTTTTGTCTTTTTGTTGTAAGCTTGCCACCAAACCGCTGTCCGTCTTTGCTCCAAGCCGGGGCAGCCAGGCAGCCTTGCCCACGGTGGTGTTTTGCTGCCCTCTGCAGCTCAGAGGAGAGACAGATGGCGGAGAGCTGGAGAGTTGACAACCTCTGCACCATGTGAGTAAAAACACATGTGACAGCTACGCAACAAAAGGATTGGGTCAGGTCAATATAGCTCAGTATAGCCGATACCAGTTAAAAAGTGCTTCAGTCGGCCACAAGATCAGATCGGGACGTCTAATTTATGCTCGTGACAAAACTTTAACATTTATATTGTTGTTATATTTATATTAATTTTGGTTTAGTGAACCGTATCCATGACCACTTTTCATGGAGCCACATACAGCATCAGCAACTCCAAGTCCCATGTCCCATGCATATAGCAACGTATCTGCACTTCCTGTCTGTCTTACATCTTCGACATCCTAGGTAGTGCCTCACCTCATCGTCATGGACCAGCTCCTTCTTCACCACCTTCATGGCATACACCTGTTCGTTCTTCTTTAGCCGAACCAGCAGGACCTTGGCGTAGCTGCCGCGCCCGATCACCCGGATCAGGTCGAAGTCACCCAGCCCGAGAGTTAGGCCCTGGGACAGCTTAATGCCATCGATGCCGTCCACTACTGTTTTGATGTCCTAGAGGGGGTAGAGGTCACATTGGTATGAGTGTACTGCATAATGCATTCAGAATAGATATGTATGGTTTGAGTTTTAATGTAAGTTTTTAAGTAGAAGAATGATAAAGTAGCAATGCTTCCCAAATGATTTTAAACCCAGAATATGTTCATGGCCTTCTGTATTCAAAAGAGATTATTTCATCTGCAGTCAAAAGACCAAAAAATTAAATAAATGATCTATTAAATGAATTACAAAGTAATGTGTAATTATTTAGAGCCCTCCTCACCTCTGTATCTGCATCCTCGGTTTTATCCACTGTACAGTTGTGCGGTAAAAATGGTACTGAAACAAAAAACAGACAGAATTATGACTGTGTGGAGACACAGGTCTTCACAAACATGAAGTGAATCTGCACGTCCAGATTTAACATGTTGTTCTGTGGCCAGTAGAGGGAGGTAGTGCACACAGAATCAAGTCCAGCTAGCCACAGGAAATACCAAACTAGGTCAATCCACAAGGGGTCCCAGAGCATCTCATATTAGGGACCCCCAAACAGACCCTCTACAACAGTTCACACTTTTCTTTTAATAGGATTGAAGACTGTGTTCTATGGGATCCCATCAGAGAGCAGTAATGTTAGATAACAGTTACATAGTTATATGAGTAGTGATAGTGAATGTGAGTTGAAGCTACCAGAGTCATAAAGTAGCCGTTGTATTATTCATTTGTCCGGGGACTTCTGGAATTACATCAAGAGCTCCTGAGGGTTCCTCCTTGATCCCACTCTGGTAGCCATGTGTGTATACTGTACAGTACATGTCATACAGTACAATGACTGTCTTCTTTGGACCAGAAAGGAAAGATTTGGTGTCATACCCATTTGTAGATCAATTCAAAACTCTTTGTTTAGTTATGCATTTATCTCATTTAAACTTATGGGAAGTGTCACAGAGCACAGAGCAAAGTGGCCGGCCTCACAAAGATACTTCAGCCTGCTCTGAAGTGTCATTTTGACAAGCCTAAAAGTTATCCACTCTACCTCCCCCATGCTATCTCTGATCTAAAGCCATGTTTCCATGGTAACAGTCTGTGACACCTGTTGACAGATGGCACCAAAAATGACAATTAAAGAGGACAACATGGCTACTAGTTAGTGGTTTGTTAACGATGCTATGCGGCGAGTAATGAGAGCGCAGTAGCCTGTTGGGAACATACAGCAGTGAGGATCGTGAGTCTGACTGACGAGTCCTGTCACATTATGAAGCCACAGCAGCTCAGCTCTGCACTGACATTTTATGCTACTGGGAGGTTTCTGTATTGTTACACTCCCAGTAAAACATCCTATAACCGTTGACTTCTTCCAAACATTCTCTGCTAGAGCGTAGTTTACAGTGTAGTATCAGTTATTATGGTTTTGTACTCTTCACTAGTTTCTATGCCTGTTATCAGTTCAGTTGAGCTTCAGTTAGTTTCCAGAGAGGGTTTGTTCGTTTACTTTAGTTTTTATTGTTTAAAAGTATTTAGTTTTAGTATAGTTTTTATTAGTTTCAGTATTAGTTATAGGTTGTTTTTTTTTAATATAGGACTATTTGTCAGGGGCAAGACTGAGGAGGTTCAGAAGGTGTTACAATACAAACACACTGACAGTCATGTACACATCGCAGTCATGCCCCAATGATAACAATGAAACAAATTTGGCCAAATTGACAAAGACTAAAACTAAAAGACATCTCCCAGGACCTTTTTGATAATACAGGACAGCACAGGACACAGTCATACAATTTATAGGCAGGCCTAGTATTGACACGTGTAACAGTTTTCATTCCCCATTTGTGTCTCAGGTTCAATACAGGTTGCTGGTCAGCGTTTATGAGACACTTAATTAATTTGCTTGATTCCCCAAATTTCTGCTGCATAATCTCAAGACAATTGACTACATTTTAGTACAGTTTTCCTCTAACAGTAACATTACTTTGGCCACAGCCCACAATTAACAGTTCAAACTAGGTAGAATTTGTATTTTTTGATTTTCTTTATTTTATTCTTTTAATTTATACTACAGTCAAAGAGGGAAAGGTGTTTCCATGGCTGGAAAATTTGTCTCTAAATTTCCAGGTTTTCCAGGATGCATGGTAAACCTGATCTCCATTATATTTGTATTTATTTTAGTTAGTTTTGTAAGTACACATTTACATTTCAGTTAGTTTTCCTTTTTTTCAGTTAACAATTTATTTTTTTTCACACCTAGTTTTAGTTTTATAATAAACTTGGTTAGTGTACAAGAAATCAACATTTATGCTAACAGGAAATGCAGGTGCAGGATATACTTGACGTTGCTCATCGATCAACCTGTGACTTTTGGGGCAGCTGTGGCTCAGAGGCAGAGCGGGTCGTTCCTAAATCGGAAGGTTGTGGGTTCGATCCCCAGCCCCTGGTGCCACATGTCGAAGCATCCTTGAGCAAGATACTGAATCCCAAATTGCTCCCGATGCCGTGCATCGGTGTGTGAAATGTGTATGAATGAGTTAGTTTCTGTTCGATGGACTTTGTCATCACTGAGTGAATGTGTGTGAAAGGGTGAATGTGACACGTAGTGTAAAAGCGCTTTGAGTGGTCGGAAGACTAGACAAGTACAGGTCCATTTACTTTTGTGTGTCTGTGAGTTTTTTTTTCACTTTAGATCTACATTCGTCATGTGGGTCACTTCAGGACTGTGACCTGTTCACACTGGTATCTGGTATGGGCCACATTAATAAAACAAGGAGAACAGCCAAACAAAACAAATCAGATCTGAGGAATAAATCAGAATTGAGCGCTAAGGCTTGCTGTATGAACGTAGCCTTAGAGAACTATTTACAGAGCAAGTTAATTTAATAAAACTTGCTATATTTATGAGTATGGATACTGACTCACTGTACTTGTTTGACACTTGTACTCATAAAAAGTAGATTCAGAGTGGCTTTTTTGCGATCTCAAAACCACTGCATGGTCATTGATCTTCACATTATATATCTAGGACATTACAAAAACTGAACCCAAGTCTATTTCCTTGTTAAAAAAGAAGAAAATGGTTCCAGTGTCTTACTCCCGTCCGTGTCCTCTGTATCATCTGGTGGAAGGTCCACCTCTTCGCTCTTGGCATCTGACGGGGGCTCCTGTGATGGCATGACTGGATCCTGAACAAAGAAATTCAAAAGTCCACCTAAATATCCTGCCACACATTCCCCCAAATATCCAGCAAAATATCCCCTCATTCTATTACACCCCTGGAAGAGAGTACGATGAATCATGTTTGCAGGACTAAGGGAAATTTGGAGGTGCTCTCAGCTAATGTACAGACATGCTTATGCTCCAAGACTCTGATGACAGTGTGGGGTTCCACTAGAAAAGGCAATCAATCACTCATTTCATCTTATCAAGCCTCAGAGTCACTTATCTGGCACTGCAGATACCAGGTTGAAGCTGTGATTAAGAGCAGGAAGACAGGGGACGGTTTGCCCAGTACCACAGCTACATTGATTTCCTAGTCAGGATTTTGGTGGTCAGGGGCTGGATTTTGGATCTTTGTGTTTGGTCAGACACTTGTCACAGTCCACAATGACAAACAGGAAATGTTCAAAGGGAGCTTTTCAGAGTTGTGCTTGAATGCACTGAGCTCTTTGATCTTTCATGTACATGTCTGTGCTACTGCAGCAGCTTACAGCACTTGCTCAGGGGCACGACTATACAACATTTCTAACATATTCATTAATACAAATGTAGGCTGCCAGAGACTGAAGGGGTGGGGGGGGGTCACAGAGGTACTGAAGAGAAGGCTGAGGTTAAAGTCCTACTCAACTCAAAAACATGTTTTGGTTGTTGTCCCTAAAGTGTGCTGTTTGAATGCTGTCTGTGCAGAGTTTGACTCTAGAAGGATGTTTTCACATTCATCTGCTGAAAGAGGAAAGTTTCTCTGTGCTCATTGATCATCTGATTTTACTCTTCTAAGCTTTGTGGTATTGCAATCCCAGTATGCAGTCTACCAAAAGCACTTTAGGCTTCAGATATTCTGTTATTAACTCCTACACTGACTCACCAGGTACACTGCTGAGATCTTGGAACACAGTGACATTGCCAAAATGAAAACAGATGGGGCAAGAAACACAAGCACACAGACAGGTTGGAAACAGACCCCCAGGTTAGCCAAACTTATTTGGAAAAGAAAATGAAGGAGAACAAAAACATCTAACGGAGTTTACAGGCCAACTTCCTGCTTCAACTTGGACCTACTGTACTTGCTGCAGTTGTGAGTGCACAGTTCCTGTGCAACAACAATTTGGATGTTCACACTTTTGATTTTGTCTTCAAATAAAGTGGTAGCTAACACTGCTCAACTGTTAGCTTCTGTACAACATGTCTGACTTGTGTTTGACCCATTCAGACCACCATGTTGCCGTGCTCCCAGTTCTCAGCAATTACTCAGGTGAGAACAAAGTTGTAATAGTAATGATTGCCCAAACTATGGTAATAAGACCCATACTATAATAAACTGTTTGATTTAAACTTAAAAGAAGAGTTGTAGTAGTAAAGTTCAGCTTAAGGTAACCTTTGTGAGTCATGAACATGTAAAGTATATGAGACGTGTTAAATTTGCGCTACTATCACATAATACTCCTGGTGAGGGGATAAAGTCTTCATCATCGACAACATGTAAACACCAGTTTGCCCAACTGCTGAGAGACTGTGCTGATGTTGGATGTGACAGGCTGCTGCTGTGCCGTTTGCTGCCCGTGGCATGATGAAATACTCACCATAAGCCTTTGGCAGGTCTGAGGGATGAGTCTGTGACAGCGCTTATGGACCAGCAGTTTGCAGTTGATACACTTGTAGCCCTGCCTGCCCAGCCCCCATATCCTTTCACTACAGTGGCCACAGTAGGCTTTCTGTAAGACACACACAGGACAGGATGTTGACAGGTTAGTCTTTAACTCACACACTGACTGACACATCACTGATTTTTCAATCAAGGGTTAATTAACAAGTATACAACGGCAAACTGTGATGGATGGGCAGTGGCAGGCTACAAGGGAACCCTTTCCAGATGAAGTCATACATCAGACTTCACTATGAGCGGTCCCTTGCGCAGCACAAATAGTCATTTGATCTAATGGTGATATACAGATATTGATAAGGGCAGCTTTAAATCAAGCAGGTTGTTAGTCCTATTGGCACATATTTTATCTGTATTCCGTGTATGTTTTTTGAAATGTGCAAACAAGGTGTCTGCAGACCCTAAATTAATAATTAATGAATACTGTAAAACCTCACTTAAAAGAAGGGTCCCAATTAGAGGCTGGTCCCCTTTGACAGATAAACACAGGTCTCAACAGGGTTTCCACTCTCAGGCAGGTTGAGTTCAGTGTAAACAAATAAAAGCCCTGGCTATTCATTGAAGTTTTACAGTATGAGTGTTTCTGAGTGATACTACTAAAATGGTTCATTACACAAGGGATTATATGACACAGATTAGAAAATATAAATGAAAAATCCTAGCAGTTGACAAAAAACCCAGTGGTAATGCCGCATTTTATGTGTGCATTATTTCCCAATAACTTCTTGAAAGTTTCCTGGAAAGAAGTACTGTACAGTATATAACGTGGTAATGATTATAGAATTGGGGTTTAGTCCTGTTAGTTGTGCTGAGTTGAACTGAGTTTGAGGGGAATTTCCTTGAAATAACTGCTCCACTTAAACCACTCATTCTTAAAGAGTGGTCATGTTTTAAATTAAAAGTGTTTCACAAATCTTATTTGGGAGTAACTTGTATGTAATGATTTCAAAATTAAGCCAGTTAGTAAGTACATTCAAATATAATTAATAAAATTCGGTGTTTGGCGGTGTTCACAACAAAATTTCAGCAATGTAGCTGGCCAATTGCAGTCATTTAATGACACTGCAACGCCACTGTTTTACAATTCACGCCAAAAATTATAAGCACGTTCTAACCACTGACTATCTCAGACAGCGTCAATTAAAAGAAAATCAAATGAAATGTCTGACACAACAGGTAAGATGCATTGCCTTGATGGGAGTGGTTCAACAGCAACAAGTGCTTCAGCTAGCATTGAGTCCTGGGAAGATGGTTTGCTGTCAAACAAAATCCCTCAAAGTGAAACTCGGCAAGAACGTGGAAAATCCAGCGCTAAAGTCAAACAAAAATACCACAGCGATCAATTTTGGATTTTTTTGGAGGACCCACAAACATATTGTGTTTTGTGCTATGAATAGTTGGCTAACGAGGCTATGAAACCCGCTAAGCTCAGGCGGCATTAAGAAACTAAACACAAGGAGTACATGGGGAAACTCTACTGGAGAGAAACACATGACGAAGGAGCCCTCACAGTTTTTTGCACCTGGGGAAAATGCGAAAGCTACAGAGGCTTTATAGAGGGTATGCCTGTTATATAGAAGGTATGCCAAAAACGGAAAACCTCATTCAATAGGTGAGAATTTAATCAAACCAGCTGCGAAGGTCATGGCTAACATATTGTTTGGGGGGAAAGCAAGCGATGAAATTAACCGTGTACCTCTGTCCAATGAAACAGTCCAGCAGCAAATAACATGTATGGCTGACAATGCTGAAGATCAGCTAATGACGTTTACGACCAAAAGCCGATTTCTCTCACTACAGTTGGAAGAGTCAACTGATATCAGGAACAATCTGTTGTGTTTTGTAAGGTACATTTTCGCTGGTGGAGTACATGATGATATTCTCTTTGGCCATTCCCTGCCGACCAACACCACAGGACAGGCAATTTTTGACTCAATAATTTTATAATGAAGAATAACCTCGACTGGACAAGATGTGGTGGCATTTGCACGGTGTGACTGCAATGACTGGAAAACAGAAGGGACTGGCAATTCGTGTGCGCGCAGTAGCACCATCCGCCACAGCAACACACTGTTGCATTCACAGAGAACAACTGGCTGTGAAAAAAATGCCCCTGTGCCTCAAAGGAGTACTCGATGAATCTGTTAAATTGGTAAATAAAATCAAAAGCAAATCACTGAACACTTTTTTAAGGTTCTGTTGAAGAAATGGGAAGCTAACACACCAAATGTCCTTTTCACTTTCATTTTTTAAAATTGGCATTCCTGGCTGATGTTTTTAGCACTCTCAACACTTTGAATTTAGCACTGCAAGGAAAAGCTGTCACTGTCTTCAATGTCCAGGACAAAATTAAAGCTGCACGTCTCAAGATTGAATTGTGGTGTACTCGTCTCGATCACCAGGAGTTTATTTGTTTTCCCATGTTGGCGGATTTTCTCCTCACTGCTGAAGAGGAGCTAGATGGCGACACAGTTGAAGCCTGCAAGGAACATTTGCAGGGCCTTCATTCACAGTTGGGAAAGGTATTTTCCAGAGCTAGAACCAGGCTTTAAGTGGATCAGAAATCCATTTGGGGACAAAATACACATTGACCAGGTCAGTTCCAAGCTCCCACTGAGACAGGTTGATAGCCTTGTGGACATCGCATCTGACGGGGCGCTTAAGACAACTTTTAGAAAGAAAGGTTTGACAGACTTTTGGGTCCACATCCGACCTGTGCACCCTAAATTGGCTGACTGTACTCTGAAACTGCTGATGCCATTTCCAATCATCTACAACTGTGAAGCTGGATTTTCCACACTTGTTGGTCTGAAAACAAAGCAGCGCAACCAGATCAATTTGAACCCCGACATGAGACTAAAACTCTCCAGTTTGGAGCCAGACATCGTTTCACTGATGTCTCAGCAGAAACAGCACCATTCTTCCCATTAAGATGACAATGAGTGAGTAATAGGCTATGCTATTTATAAAACTGTTGTAATATACTGTTGAAGTAGGCCTATATTGTTTTGGAGAATACTTGGGAGTTAGGTGGTCTGTGATTTGTTTTTGTTTTTTTGCTAAGTGGTCCTTGATCGGAAAAAGTTTGAGAAACACTGACTTAAACCAAAGTAAAAATGAATCCATCATTCCTTTTGTCATTGGAGACTTTACCAATCTCTATTTTACATTTAATTACTGCAATATTGAATGGTTCTTGTCAGGAAATGTAGTACTAGGAATTTACAGACCTGTAAAATAAAATTTACAAAATGCGGTGTTCGTTTCATATAATGGATTACTCAAGCCAATTGTACAAGCTACCCTGGACTGAAATCATATATTTTTATGTTCACATTATAATTCTATGACTTGTTGGTACTGCAGCTCTCACCATTAATATTATGTTGTATACAGACTATTATTATGTCTGTTGTAGGGCTCAGGCTCCTCCCTTCCCTCACATACATGTACTGTAAAGCTGAGACTAACTTAAGTCCATTCTCTGTTACATAACACAGTCTCCAGAGGGTTTGTTCTTTGATTAGTTCTTTCTTTGTGGTTATTTTCTAGCTTGTCTCTTACGTTGCTATATTAGTACCAAAGGATGTTATGTCTGCAGCTAACGGTCCCTGGACATCAATAAATCTGTCATCAAAAGTCTCACTGGAGACTAAAACATGTGATGCAGCTTCGGTGTATCGACAACATTCATTCACAGGGTGTGTACGCTGACAGTGTAAAGAACAAAGAGCCCCAGTCAGGGCTCTGTTGCCATGGAAATGCCTTAGCAAGACTTCAAAGACATCCTTCAGTCTGTCTAATCCAACTCTACATAGAGGTTAAGGTGTACGTTTATGAATTAATCACAAACTTTTGCCTTTTCCCTACACGGCACACACAACCTGAGAGTAATAAGCAGTGAGAGGTAAAAAGAAGTCTGAGAACGTTGTCACTGCATCGGGCTTCGGACAGGCTAGAAAACACCAGGGGGTGATATTGCATCATATCAGTTTAGCATGTTAGCATAATAATATTTGCAAATTAGCACTAAACACAAACACAGCAGAGGTTCATGGGAATGTCATTAGTTTTTAATGCATTGGTCAAACACCAAAATACTGGACAAACTGAAGGTTTAACATGCTAATGTTGCTAGAGAAAAAGACAGGGAATCACAAAAATCAGCAGGAGTAATCCTCTGGGGACCTTTCATATTCAGCATGTGCAATATTTCATGCTAATTCATCCAACAAAGTCAAAATGTTTCACTCCTGTAACAACAACCTATAAAGCAGACATCATGCTAGTGCTAGAGGGAAAGTCAGTGGATCACCAAAGTCTTTAGGCTTCATGCTCATCAGGGACAAATACTGATAGCTGTAAGGGCGGTAGTACCATTCCAACCTTGCTACACGTCGTCCAACAAAAACAACAAAAATGGTATATATATCTATATTTTACTTGTAATATGTATTCAGTAATGTTACAAATAAAACTGAATAATGTAAATTGATGACATGTAGGTTAAAAAACTAAACTTCACCAGCAATTATCTTCTGTTAACTACTCCACTAGCCATATTCTTAAGAATAACTTGACACTCGGGGTGTAACATCGATAATGATCAATATATTGGTATCAATGTTCAGCAATCCAATATATCAATACAAAGTGAAAACAATACAATTTACATCGACCATTTACATGGAAATAAAGACAAGGCACATACCATGTGCAAACAATGCCATTATGAGATAAAACAAATGGAATTCAGCAATACAATTTTCAAATAATATTCTAGTTGCTTTAATTAACTTGATAAAAATCTAACTGATTGTGTAAATTGCCATATATGATCTCATCAGTTATCTCATATCACAGGGAACCTGAACTGAATTAAATCGAAATCGAATCTTGGTAGACTCTGGGATATCAGCAAATATCATATCACTGTCCAAATAATCGATATAATATCTTTTTTTTTTTTTACCAAACTAATGATTTATGCCCTTACTAGACACTGATAATGATATTGTAGCTTCTACTAGATACTGTCTGTTGGTTGCTGTT